CTCTACCACTTGAGCCACAGCGCCACTTCCGGCTTTTTTCTTTTTTGCTTATGTGGTGCTGAGGAATCGAACCCAGGGCCTGAGGCATGCAAGGCAAGCACTCTACCACTGAGCCACCTTCCCAGCCCTACAAGGATTTTCTTAACTGGGCTAAGAAAAACTAGTATGTCCAGAAATAGAAGAGCACTCAGGGGTAAACACCCTGACTTAGAAAGTAGGTGCTCAAGAAATACTACTTGAATAGTTTACAAACTCAGATTTTTCTGTATCTTATAAAAGTTACCATACACTCAAACGATACAGTTGGGGGCTGGGAAGGTGGCTCAGTGGTAGAGTACGTGCCTTGCATGCATTAGGCCCTCAATTCGATTCCTCAGCACCACACAGGCAGAAAAAGCCGGAAGTGGGGCTGAGGCTCAAGTGATAGAGCGCTGATCTACAGCTGAAGAGCTGAGGGACAGCGCCCAGGCCCAGAGTTCAGGCCCCAGGACTGGAAAAAAAAAAATGATACAGTTGGGAATGGTTCTAACGAAGGATTTTGGGTTTTTTTGGGTCATTTGTGGGGCTTAAACTCAGGGCCTGGGCACTGTCTCTGAGCTTTTTTGCTCAAGGCTAGCTTTATACTACTTTAAGCCACAGCACCACTTCCGGTTTTCTGGTAGTTGGAGATAAGCTTCAAAGGGGCTGGGAATATGGCTTAGTGGTAGAGTGCTTACCTAAGATGCATGAAGCCCTGGGTTCAATTCCTCAGTACCACATATACAGAAAAAGCCAGAAGTGACTCTGTGGCTCAAGTGGTAGAGTGCTAGCCTTGAGCAAAAGATTAAGGACAGTACCCAGGCCCTGAGTTTAAACCCCTAGCAAAAAAAAAAAAAAGTTTCACAGATTTTCCTGCCCAGGCTGGCTTTGAATGAGATCCTCACATCTCAGCCTCCTGAGTAGCTGCGATGCCAACTGTGAGCCACCAGCACCTGGCTGATGAGAGGATTCCGGAACTACCTGGTCAATCTAGTATGCTTCCTTTATAACTTTAGTGGGGTTTTTTTTGGACCTTGAAACATAGGAGCAGCAACAGTTTGAAGAGCCACTGCTGTAATATGGGAATATGAAACATCGTTTAGGAAGGAAGATGTGAGTCCAACAGTATTACCAATGCAGAGAAAGCTGAGTGAGCCTCGCTCCTGCCTTCCACTGTCAGTGCCACGCAGTTTCATTGGGTCTCTCGTGTTTTAAAATTAAACAGGCTATCAAGAAAGTATACATGAAAAGCAAACATTTATTACTGGAGAAGAGAAAAATGTACACAGAAAGTCTATATTCTTTCTGTTCATGCACTGGTTGTAAAATAAGGTCCAAATGCCAACTTTGAAGATATTTACAAGAATAACTTTTTCTTAACACACAACCATTTACTGTGAGGTGGACTTTTTAAAATACAAAGTCTATACTGCAAACTAACTACAGTTTCTAAGAAGATTAGAAGAAGTAGTAAGGGATACAGTTATGTGATTCTTAAATGTTTAATTGCTTGATTTGAACAGGGTAATAGGGTAATGAAAAAATCAAAACAGACTAGTTTTAAGATTTTTTGTATTCAATTCTTTCTACTTTCACGTCATCTCCAATTAGCTGATAGACATATGTGACCACTGTGGAAGCCTGGATGTCCATCAACACAAACGATGGAATAATATTTCTGGAAGGAAAGACATAGTATCAGTGTTTTGTACTAAATAGCAATAGAACTATAAACCTCAATTTAACTTGAATTCAAGAAGAAATGTTGAACGTTGCTTGCATGTTTAAAAAGAACAAGTACCAGTGAGTGGTTCAAGCCTATAATCCTAGCTTCTTGGGAGCAAGAGATGGGGGATCAAGGTTTGAGGCCAGCCCAGGTATAAAAGTTGGTGAGACTCCATCTCACCAATGGCTGGGTCACATGCCTGTCATCCCAGCTGCAAAGCATGACAATGCTATGCGTTAGTATGAGGCTGTGGTCCCCGGTGATGGCGGGGAGGGCAAGTAGGAATTCAGCCCAGGCCAGCCCAAGCATAGCAGGAAACCACACCTTGAAAATAACCAATGCAAATGGACTGGAACTTGGTTCTAGCAGAGCACCTGCCTAGCCAGCAAGGCCCTGAGTTCAATCCCCAACATGTCCAAAAAAAAAAACAATTACAATTACCAAAAGAATTGTTATTTTTTGTTGTTGCCGGTTGTGGGGCTTGAACTAGGCCTGGGCACTATCCCTCAGCTCTTCAATTCAAGGCTAGCGCTCTACCACTTGAACCACAGCGCCACTTCCGGCTTTTTCTGCTTATGTGGTGCTGAGGAATTGAACCCAGGACCTCATGCATGCAAGGCAAGCACTCTTACCACTGAGCCACCTTCCCAGCCCAAACAAAAGAATTATTTTAAAGGTGGCTTTTAAAAAATGTTTTGTTGTGTGTCTATGTGTGTGTGTAGTTGGTACCAGGGCTTGAACTCAGGGCCTCACTTTCTTGCTCGGCTTTCTTGGTTACAGCTGGCACTCTATCACTTGCACCATACCTTGAACTCTCCTTTTGCTGGTTAATTGGAAATGGTTTCTTGCAGACTTTTCTGATATGGCTAGCTTTGAACTAAGATCCTCCAGATCTCAGCCTCTCCAGTAGCTAGGATTATAGATGAGAGCCACCAGCACCTGGCTACATTTGTCTTTTATAAACTATCACATAGGCAACTGTTAACTTTACAGCACACTACTTACGTTTCCAAGGCATTATATGCCCCAGTGGCAGAACCTGGGTTAATGTAGAATTTATTTTCATGCTCAAATGCTTCAAATTTGTGAGTGTGTCCTGAGATAAGAATGTCCACATCGAACTGCCTCTGCAGCAGGGCCAGGCTGGCCATGTCTCCCCACGGAATGACCTGATGTCCGTGGATCAAACCGATTTTGAACTGTCCCACAGTCACAACTTTCTGTTCCGGGTAATTCAGATTCTAATGTAAGAAACAGACACCAAGAAATATTTTAGAACTAATAATGTTAAGAAGTTGTTTAAATATTCAAACTCATTCAGATGTCTTAAAAGAGTACCTCATAACACACTCATTTATAAATCTTTGATTTCTTCTCTTTCTCAAAGACTAGGCTTAAAACAATTTATTCAGTGTAAACTGCACTTTACCTTCCCTTTAGTAGGTATATATATATATTTTTTTTTTGGGTCCGGTTGTGGGGCCTGAACTCTGGGCCTGGGCGCTGTCCCTCAGCTCTTCAGCTCAAGGCTAGTGCTCTACCACTTGAGCCACATCACCACTTCCGGCTTTTTCTTATGTGGTGCTGAGGAATCGAACCCAGAGCCTCGAGCATGCAAGGCAAATGCTCTACCACTGAGCCACCTTCCCAGCCCTAGTAAGTATATTTTTATAGATTATAGATTCTTTTGGGGCATGGGCTAGAGAAACTTAGGGTTTTCTTACCTATAATCTAGAGAGTTCAGATTGTGCCCCGGTCTTTGATAACCAGGCTCCCCATTTTATGGCTGCCACTTGACATCCAGTGAGTGGCCAAACTAAGGTCCAAACTCTGGTGGCACGGCTTCAGGGTTCATAAATACAGTGAATTAAATTAAGCCTAACTCTTGCTAATTAAATTGTCTTCACCCAACACAGACATGACCACAGTGTAAGTGTGAGAGTGAGAGAGAGAGAGAGAGTGTGTGTGTGTGTGTATGTGTCCGTCCATTTGGTTTGGTATAAAGAAACCCAAGCGCACCAAAAGTTAAAAAGAAATGATGAAAAGCTAAAACTCTGAATCCCGATACAAGCCAGTCTAGTCTTTGGGCCTTAGATCTAGGGAATTGTTTTTAGATCTCTTCCCCTTGCATGTTAAGAGATTGTTCTTTTCTCCCTGCTTTGTCCTACTTTACTAAATAAACCTTTGATAGTCTTCAAAAACACCAACATTTTCTTCTCTGTCTGTGGTGCTGGAGGTCTTGTGCTCTATCACTGAGATATATCTCCAGGCCTTTAGAAAACTTTTTCAAAGGGAGAACAAAATGAAAACAAAAAGACCTTAGCAGTTGGTAGACTTTGGCCTAAAGGATAAAGTCTGTATACATAAGAATCAGGAAAGGGGGAAATGGGAAAGGAGAAGGGAGTGGGGGGTGGGAGGGTACAGGAGACACATCACCTCATCGAAGTCTCCCCTCACGATATGGACATCACCAGCCAGAGTCTTGAGATAGTCATAACTCTCTTTGGTACAAAGGTTTCCAGTGCAGAGAATGTGCTGTATCTTCCCCGGTACCAGGAGTTTTTTGAACTTAGCCGGCAAACTGTTACACCGGTGTGGGATATGCAGATCTCCTAACACCAACACCAACTTTGAAGTGGCAAGGTGAAATAAGGCATAGCATTAAACATGATGCCAAACCAACAGACCCCCATGATTCCCTAAAATTCTAAGAGATACCTTCCAAAACCCAGAAGTTATCAAAACAGTTCCTTTCATGACCATTTAAACAAATACATAATGTGCTCTGTTCCAAATCAGTCTTATTTTGGATATAAATAGTTGAACATGCTCGATAATCATTCTATCAACTAAGAATAGAATCAAGCATTCTAAACTGATTTAGAGATCTAGAAATTATACTGAAAAAAAAAAACCAAAATCATAAAATGAAAAGTATAGTACTGAACCCTATGGAAGCTGGCTTTTTTGAAGGCTGAAATGTAAATTCCTATTTCTGCAGTTGCAAAGCTGACATAATTGTAATAAAAATGTTATTAAGGAGAATCATTAAACATGCAGTGAAAAAAAGTCAATTCTGCAATGTTTGCTTACTAGACTAACAACTATTGGGAGAACAGTAGCCACAATTACCATTTTTTTTACTTCAAATGACTAACCACACACTAAAGGGCTTTAAAAGCATATGTTAGCCAGGTGACGGTGGCTCATGCCTGTAATCCTAGCTACTCAGGAGGCTGAGATCTGAGGATCGCGGTTCAAAGCCAGCCCCTGCAGGAAAGACCGTGGTGGTTTATCTCTAATAAACCACCAGAAAACCGGAAGTGGCGCTGTAGCTCAAGTAGTAGAACGCTCGCCTTGAGCTGAAGAGCTGAGGGACAGCGCCCAGGCCCAGAGTCCAAGCCCCACGACCGACAAAAAAAAAAAAAAAAAAGCCTATGTGTTAGTTTCAATAGATAAATATGAGCTTTTGGATTATAATCTTTGATCAGAAAGCCCCATCATTTTTTTTTTTTGGTCTGCAGGTCCTGGGACTTGAATTCTAGGCCTGGGCGCTGTCCCTCAGCTCTTCAGCTCAAAGCAAGCGCTCTACCACTTGAGCCACAATGCCACTTGGATTTTTGGTGGCTTACTGGAGATAAGAAAGAGTCTCATGGACTTTCCTGCCTGGGCTGGCTTTGAACTGTGATCCTCAGATCTCAGCCTCCTGAATAGGATTACAGGTATGAGCCACCAGCACCTGGCTCATTGGTGTTTTTATTACCTGGATTAAACTACCTATATTCCCTCAATTGTTCAGAGTTATAAAATAACATTTTCACAATCTTTATGTGTATTAAAACATTAAAACTGGTAGAGCGCTAGCCTGAGCTGAAGAGCTGAGGGACAGCGCCCAGGCCCAGAGTTCAGGCCCCACAACCGGACCCTCCCCCCAAAAAAAAACAAAAAGAAGTCTTCATTAAAGCATTCAAACAAAAAAGAAAAGTCAGCTAAATAAGTGATGTGTCCCACAAGAGGGAGTTCAGCGTGACTATACAAAATCAGCTCAAATATAAAGAATCCAAAAAAAAAAAAACTTTAGGATTTTACCAATAACAAATTTAACAGAATAAAGTTAAAAGAGCCGTTTAAAAATAATATCTGGTCTCCAAAGGGCAGCAGAATTAACTTGTTCATGCTCTCAGTACCTGCATTTTATACAGGATTTTTCCCATACAGACATACCACTCCTGAACAAACATGCTATTTAACTGCTTTAAAGACATGATTTTAATATTAAACATCTAATAGGGCCAGGTGTCATTGGCTCACACGTGTACTTCTAGCTACTCAGGAGGTTGTGATCCAGAAGATTGCAGTTCAAGGCCAGCCTGGCAGTGTGTAAGAGCCTATCTCTAAAATAATCAGCTAAGGGCTGGGAAGGTGGCTCAGTGGTAGAGTGCTCAAGGCTCTGGGTTCGATTCTTCAGCACCACATAAACAGAAAAGGATGGAAGTGGGCACTGTGGCTCAAGTGGGAGAGCGCTAGCCTTGAGCTGAAGAGCTCAGAGTCAGTGCCCAGGCCCAGAGTTCAAGCCTCACAACCAACCAAAAAAAACCAAAAATACTTTTGCCACTACAGGGCTGGAGGCATGGCCTAATGTAATGGTTAGTGCTTACATACTAAATTCAAGAACCTGTGTTCAAATCTCAGCCCTGTAAAAAAAAAAAAAATGCTCAAAATAATTCTACCACTAGGCTTTGTAAAATAATATTCACCAAAAATGATATGGATAAAATTAAAGCAATTGCTAAAATAAAGCTCAAGTTATTTGGCAACAAAAAATAAAAACTGCAAAGAAAAACTTTATCAGGACACAGAATAACTGATGTAACATGAAGTTACAAATTGGTACACCTTTTTTAATTTATGAAGAGCAGTTTCAATGGATAATTCTTCAAAAATATATTGACTGTTCAGTGCAGTTATCAGTAGACAAGACATCTGTAAAACTAAAAACCACTATGAAGTATACATGTTCAGTGGTGATATAAAAGTACCTTGGTGGGCTGGGAAGGTGGCTCAGTGGTAGAGTGCTTGCCTCGCATGCATGAGGCCCTGGGTTCGATTCCTCAGCACCACACAAGCAGAAAAAATCCGGAAGTGGCGCTGTGGCTCAAGTGGTAGGGCTCTAGCCTTGAGCTGAGCGCTGAGGGACAGCGCCCAGGCCCAGAGTTCAAGCCCTACCACCAACCAAAAAAAAAAAAAAAAAGGTACCTTGGCATACAAAGAGCAATCTTCACTCTACAGAGATTCTCTTCAGATATGGATTGAAGTGCAGTTACTGTGGGAAGCTGGCATTTGAGAAAAAGGTAAAAATAGATTTCTACATTAAAAAGAGTCCCAGGGCTGGGAAGGTGGCTCAGTGGTAGAGCGCTTGCCTTGCATGCCTGAGGCCCTGAGTTCGATTCCTCAGCACCACATAAGCAAAAAGAAAAAAGCCGGAAGTGGCGCTGTGGCTCAAGTGGTAGAGCGCTAGCCTTGAGCTGAAGAGCTGAGGGACAGCGCCCAGGCCCAGAGTTCAAGCCCCACGACCGACAAAAAAAAAAAAAAAAAAGACTAGTGCTCTACCACTTTGAGCCACAGCACCACTTCCAGTTGTCTTGTGATTAACTGGAGACAAGAGTCTCCTGGGCTTTCTTGTCCTGGCTGGCTTTGTTTTTTGTTTTTAGTTTTTTGTTTGTTTTTTGTTGTTTTGTCGGTTGTAGGGCCTGAACTCTGGGCCTGGGTACTGTCCCTCAGCTCTTTAGCTCAAGGCTAGAGCTCTACCATTTGAGCCATAGTGCCACTTCTGACTTTTCTGCTTATGTGATACTGAGGAATCAAACCCAGGGCCTCATGCATGCAAGGCAAGCACTCTACCACTGAGCCACCTTCCCAGCCCTCCTGGCTGGCTTTGAACCATGATCCTCAGATCTCTGCCTCCTAAGTAGCTAGGATTACAGGTGTGAGTCACCAGCACACAGTCTCAGCACCTTTTTTTTTCTTTTTGGTCAGTAGTGGGGCTTGAACTCTGGGCCTAGGCACTGTCCCTCAGCTCTTCAGCTCAAGGCTAGCGCTCTACCACTTGAGCCACAGCACCACTTCCATTTTCTGGTGGTTCATTGGAGGTAAGAGTCTAATGGACTTTCCTGCCTGAGCTGGCTCTGAACCTTGATCCTCAGATCTCAGCCTCCTGAGTAGCTATGATTATAGGCATGTGCCCAGTTCAGCACCCTTTTTGACACTGGTTAGTTTTTTTTTTTTTGGTCGGTCACAGGGCTTGAACTCTGGGCTTGGGCGCTGTTCCTGCACTCTTCAGCTCAAGGCTAGTGCTCTACCGCTTGAGCCACAGCGCCACTTCTGGTTTTCTAGTGGTTTATTGGAGATAAGAGTCTCACAGACTTTCCTGCCAGGGCTGGCTTTGAACCGCGATCCTCAGATCTCAGCCTCCTGAGTAGCTAGGATTACAGGCGTGAGCCACCAGCGCCCGGCTGACATGGTTAGTTTGAAGTAGGTTCCCACTGCTCAGGCCTGCACCTGGACCATGGTTCTCCTATTCTGTTTTCCATCATAGCTGGGCTGACAGGTATGTGTCATCATGCCAGCTTTTTATTTTTTTTTGAGGGGGGGTCCGGTCATCGGGCCTGAACTCTGGGCCTGGGCGCTGTCCCTCAGCTCTTCAGCTCAAGGCTAATGCTGTACCACCTGAGCCACAGCGCCACTTCCGGCTTTTTTCTTTTTGTTTATATGGTGCTGAGGAATCGAACCCAGGGCCTGAGGCATGCAAGGCAAGCGCTCTACCACTGAGCCACCTTTCCAGCCCCGCCAGCTTTTTATTTTGAGATGAAACGTAGCAAAGTTTTTTCACCTGAGCTGCCTGGAACTTTGATCCTTTCAATCACATCTTTCTATTAGCTAAGGAGTCATGATACTCCTAGCTACTGGTTGAGAAGGGGTCTTGCATGCTCAGGCTGGCCTTTTAACTATGATCCTCTTGATCTCAGCCTCCCAATTAGCTAGTGTGAGCCACAGTGTCCAGTGTAATTCCCTTTTCTAGTGCCTTCTGCCACTACATGTGTTAAAGTTAAGGCCCCAGTGGCGCTGTGGCTCAAGCAGTAGATCACTCGCCTTGAGCTGAAAAGCACAGGGACAGCACCTAAGCCCAGAGTTCAAGCCCCACGACTGACCAAAAAATTTAAAAAAAAAGTTAAAGCCCCTTTAGGAATTATAATTTTACATGTTCACCATGTAAAATTTTAGATTGAATATATATTCAATATAATATCTCCACATATGTATATGTAAATACAAACTGTGTGGTACAGTCCATAGCTAACGGTTTATGCTTTTTTTTTTTTTTTTTGCCAGTCCTGGGGCTTGAACTCAGGGCCTGGACACTGTCCCTGAGCTTCTTTTGCTCAAGGCTAGCACTCTAACACTTGAGCCACAGCGCTACTTCCAGTTTTTTCTGTTTATGTGGTACTGAGGAATGGAACCCAGGGATTCATGCATGCTAGGCAAGCACTCCACCACTAAGCCACCTTCCCTGCCTTACATAATGGAATTTGAAGTTGGTTTTGTTCCAAAACAGCTCACTTATTTTTTCAGCTCGTGCTGCGATCTATTAATTCTTCTTGTTCAGCCTATGGATATGCCCTCTTCTCACCTGTGTTTTTTGAACAATATCAATGGTCAACGTCAGAGACAATGAATCATGATGACATTCCACTGACTTTAAATTTCAAATTCACAATGCAGGTAAATCTTCATGTTTTTCTTTCATACAGGACAAAAATCCATCTGCTCAACACTACACATTGGCATGCAGATCCCTCAGCTCATTTATGAATACACATAACCAAGTTGGGTTTAAGAAGATAAGCAGCTATATCGGGTACCTGTTTAATAGTTGTCATGTATTTCTTTTACAGTCTCTTCTGCCCATCTTTAAATGTCTGAATTTCCTTGAGAGGAATGTTGAGAAGTGCAAAATGTTCACAAAATCTGGGAAGTGTAGATTTATTATTCAGCTCTTCTGCAAGCACAGTAGGTATAACTGAATGGTTTAAAATGCTGTTTCTACAGGGCGCCAGTGGCTCACGCCTGTAATCCTAGCTACTCAGGAGGTTGAGATCTGAGGATCTTGATTCAAAGCCAGCCCAGGCAGGAAAGTCCCTAAGACTCTTCAATAAACCACCAGAAAACCGGAAGTGGTGCTGTGGCTTAAGTGTTAGAGCACTTGCCTTTTGCTGAAGAGCTGAGGGACAGCGCCCAGGCCCAGAGTTCAAACCCTATGACCAACAAAAAATAAAAGGTCTGGGAAGGTGGCTCAGTGGTAGAGCATTTGCCTTGCATGCATGAGGCCCTGGGTTCGATTCCTCAGCACCACATAAGCAAAAAAAGAAAAAAGCCAGAAGTGGTGCTGTGTCTCAAGTGGTAGAGCGCTAGCCTTGAGCTGAAGAGTTGAGGGACAGCATCCAGGCCCAGAGTTCAGGCACTATGACCGGGCCCCCCCCCCAAAAAAAAATAAAAGTTGTTTCTTCTGAACTGGTTTTAGTTTGAGAATATTGAAACTTCCTCTCAAGACCTCTGCTATAGCATCATTGCTTGGGCAAGTAAAGGTATTCCCTTGTCTATCCCTGTTCCTGTATGATGATTGGTATTAGGCATTTTTTAAATTTTTTTAATTAAAAAAAACGAGGAAACAAACAAAAGACGCCTCATAATGTTACAATTTATATATTTTTTCTTCCCCAGCTGTTCTGGGTTTTGAGCTCCAGGTCTTGGGCTTCCTGGGCAGAAATTCTACCTCTTGAGCCACATCTTCAACATTTTTGCTATCTATCTATCTGTCTGTCTGTCTATCTATCTATCTATCTAGGATAGGGCCTCAGTACTCCATCCTCTACTTATACCACCTAAGAAGCTAGGACGACAGGTGTGTATCCCCAGACTTATCTAATATTTCTTAATTTTATCTTAAGTTTATCTTTGTGATAATTGTTCTAGTCCTGGGACTTGAACTCAGGACCTGGGTGCTGTTCCTGAGTAATAAGAATCTCATGGATTTTCCTTCCCAGGCTGGCTTTGAACCACAATCCTCAGATCAACCTCCTGAGTAGCTAGGATACAGGCATAAGCCACCAGCACCTAGCTCTTATCTTAATAACATTATCTAAGGGCTGGGAAGGTGGCTCAGTGGTAGAGCACTTGCCTTGCATGCTTGAGGCCCTGGGTTCTATTCCTCAGCACCACATAAGCAAAAAGAAAAAAGCCGGAAGTGGCGCTGTGGCTCAAGTGGTAG